AACGCTACACTGTGTTTGTGGCTCTGCAACTTGCTAAATAAGGTTTCCGAATTCTTTGTTGTCGTCTGCTTCTTCGTCATCATAAATTTCAATCTTGAAGCCCCCTTTACGGAAACATTCGAAAGCACAAAACTCAATGTCTTGATCGTTGAAGAAGTGATAATGCAGTGTGCTTCACCGCAATTGAAGTTGATGACCCCGATCATTTGTTTATATCCGGGGTCATTATACTGTCCAGACACCACGCGATGCGTGGGCGTGTGGTGTGAAAAACTTAATCTGTTGCTATTGTTTTACGCGGGACGTTACTTGTAGTGTGAGATTTGATATTGTTTCTGTGACGTTCACGGTAAATTCAACACAATGCACACTTTTTAGGTCGAGCAGACCGGATTACTAGATAGCGGATGTGGTGCAACTGGTCGGATGGTCGATGTATTCAGTGTGAATATTGGACTTGGGACCGATCAATGCGGTCGGTATTCGGAGTAGACAGTGGTCGGATTTCACAGGTTGTTTTAACATAGGAGTCTATGGAGAAATTTCGGGACTACATAAATCGGTCGGTTCTGACAGTAGGTCGGTTTATCCAGAGGTCGGTTTTGACAGGTTTTACTGTACTAGTACCTTACAATACTGCATGGTCTATGGATCACATTATTGTAAAATTTACTCCTGGCCTGATCCCTGAAATACATGGACGTCCATAGTGCAACAACAGTCCTGTGGTACAACCTAGCTGTCGCTTCGCGGCGTTTTGGGTCCGGGAAGGTATTTTGCTCCGTCTGTCAATTACCGGTATATACACATCGACCCAAAACGCCGCGAAACTACGCCTAGGTACAACCGTACTATTTCAGACGACGTATGCTTATAATGTCTGTACCAGTACCACTACCAAATCTCTTCGATTTGCACTCTATATTATGTGTCAATAATACGAAGTATCAAGAATAACACTTTCGAAAGGGTAGTTATTCAGTCAAAATAACCAAATTTGGCATATTTTAGGCAAATGTACTCAATACTGTGGTGGGTTATTCCAACGAAATGTAGAAGTTTATCGGTCGTGATCACAATCATGAACCACAGTCGTGAACACCTTCCCACAATATCAAAACTATGTGCAGAATTACCCTGATTATTATTTAAACTGGTCATAGAGGTGGGAGTTAGCGATCTAAAATATGCACCCGTACCGTATCTGTCAGTTCTTCGAGTTGTTTCACGATCCTGGTGTGCGGAATCGAGAACACATCGATCTCCGATGGAGCAGGCGCCATTTTGGAAATCGTCGACTACTTAATTCGTGTGTGGGTGGCACAGCTTTCACATGAAAAACGCGATTGATAATTAACATCAGTGTTATTGTTATAAAAATATACAGACATTAATTACCTTTTGAATTAAAACAATTATATACCATAAACTATGTTGAACGTAACAATTATGTCGAAATTTGTTTTTGACATTCTTAACGTTTTTCAAAGCCCCTAACTATAATGCGATATGTCCTGTGGCTCGTTCACAGACATTTATAATACAAATATTAAAATATTTTTTTTTACTTGTGTTTCCTCATCAAATTGTATTTTTTATAATTTATAAATATAAAAGATATTAAATACAATAAGAAAAATAGTATAGTAACAATGTTCTTAAATGTATAAACAATAAAAATTAATCGTGTTCGAGTACAAATGTTAAAGGTCAGAATCCCGGGGTCAGAACAGGTGGTTTTATTTTGTCGAACGTTTCGATAAAAACATGTTTCTGTTTTGAATACAACAAAAGTTTTGCATCCGACTTCTTGTGCTCACGAGTCATTATTTTTTATGTCACTGCCTGTGGCAACTGTCACGACAATTGGGTTTAGGGTGATACGACAAATAGCTTTATTGTTTTACGTTTGCACGGACGATACCACTTTTTATAGGTGACACCTGTTGTTCATCAATATCTTCATTTCGGATAGTTTCACTGTCTTTGCTACAGATATAGTTTGAATTTATTTTGTAAATCATTTTAGAACAGTATGTAATGAACTAATTTCGTAAAAATATATAAATAAAGTGTCAAACGCAAAGGAAATATCGACGCACCAACAGACATTCGAATGGAATACCCCGACCGGAGGCAAGCCATGGCAACGTTTGAAGACGCGTGAACACAAAACGCGTGTGGTAGGACATTGTATGGAAGTCAATTGCTGAAATTATTCTGCCCTAAACGTAGGGACGTCGTTTTCTTTAGATTTAGGTCCAATACATCTTGTTTAAAATGGTGAGGGAATTAATGGACACTCAGCGGCAGAATTTCTGGAAGGAATCAATCGAAAAAGAAGCTTATGTTCGTCTAGCCTGGCATGAAAAGTACAGCAAAGAGTTCGCCCGCGATTCGGCGCAGCGTATCCAGCGAAAGAAGCGACCTGATCTGGTACCGAAGCCGGTGATGTCCTTCAAACTGCCGTCCATCGACAAAAGCAAACAGACCAGTGACAAGGCCAAACACGAAGAGGAGGTGAAAGCAAACTATGCTTTAGTTGCGAAAAAAGATCCAAACGCACTTCTGGTGGAAATGAGACCAGCCAGTCGAAACACGAAAAAGCTCTTGTTCAAAGGTGAGCGAAACAATCGTAAACAAACCATTACGAAAAGCCATTATGTGTTGATTATTTGTCAAGTAGTATGCGTAGTCTATAAACCAGTATATATCGGATTTACTGATAAGGCTATATTTAGAAAGAACACACGTCTCATGAGTGTTTCTTTCAGTTGAGCCAAACGAGTTAGTGGTGTGATTTTTACTTGTAATGATACTAATAACTCGTTCCATAATAATATTGTACGTCACCCGGGACGTCACCATGGGCCCAACGCTGGGTGTTTTCGGGTTTCCGTCTTTCTGCGAGTCGTGAGGAGGGTGTAACTGATTGTCGATGCGGTGGGCAATACATTATTATTTACAGCCTGGTTATGTGCAATGGTGTTAGCGTCGCGTGTATTTAACAAAAGATACGCTGGTGCATTAGCAGTTCCATGGCTGACTAATTCAGATAATTAAACCAATGGCCTCGATTTCACTCAATACATGTAACATGATAATCGTTTCTACATTTTAACAGGTTTCAGCAAGCTTGGCGAAGGAAGATATGCGTATCTACAGAAGAGGAAAGAAAGAAAACCCGAAGACAAATTTGAGTTCCCCATCACGAGTAGTTGGGAGTATGGATGGAGATTAGGAGACGTCATCACGAGCGCGGAGATGAAAGCACCACAGTTTGGAAGATCTCGAATCGTCAGGGACTCATTTTACAGAACTAATGGAATTTTCTGAATTAAGTGAATTGTTCTTAACTTATACTGCCCCTGTGTTTCCTAAGTGTCACTTAGAAGGGGCATGGTGGAAATAGATTTACAACCGTTTAGTTACAAGATATGTTTGTTTTTGTTTTTCCTAGAATATTTTACAATATCCTTTCTTAGAATAAGAAATTTAGACGTGAACGACAAGAAATATTAAGTAGCAATTTAGACGTGTGTGTATCATCGCCAAATAATTTAATGAATTGTTTAGAATGGTGTTAACTGATAAGCGATTACAAGTAACTGCCAAATTACAAAAAAACGTCATCGTTCCACCAACAGCATTATTGTAATAATTACTCACACCCCTTCAAGTTAGGCCCGCAATTGACTTGAAATGAACATTATTTACTGAGTGAATATCTTTATATCCATGATACTAATATCTCATTTCCTGTTATGTTGTGTTATGCTGTGTTGTATTTCTGAATTAATACCACATGTTGAGATATAACACTTTTCCCCATCCATTTATAGAGTACTGGAGGGGGGGTTTATCCTTCAGACGAACATACTAGTATACACAATGCAACTAACCTAATCCCTCTAAATAAGCAGTATCTTTTAATTGAGAAATTCTATTCTGCAATTACTTTCTCCTTGGTAATCCACAATCTCAACATTTGATGGTTATATGTTGGTCAGGGGATTGTACCTCACAGATATGCAAAGTGGAAATGCAACATGAAGATATATCGGTCCCAATGATCTTTGACTCAAGAAGGAATACGCTCTGGTTTTGATGCAATGAGGTCGGTGCGTGTTTCAGATATCGCCTAATGTGATAAACACATCGATATCGATTACCCACTGTAATTTGTATCCTGGAAGAATTTTACTGTCACGTGACTCTTGTAACTGTTATGTAACATCATGTAAAGTTTATGGATGCAAATTAGTGTTATGTAATACATGTATACCATTTTACGTTCACTGCGAGATCTCGCGTTAGAACTCATATTGCTGATTACGTGCCAGTTGCAGTGTGAAATCCATGGACTACCCCTCCCGCTCATCACGATCCGTCCCATTATCATTGAACGCCCTCGATGAATATTTGATTTTTTTTTAAATAAAGAAACTACGTAAATGTGATATATGTTTGAGATTATTTACATGTATAGTGAAATTGTACCCCATGCTGACAAAGGTCAGTCCAAGGTTATCGATTCAATCTGTAACCATGCCACCGATGTTGACTGTCCACAAAATGTAACATGTGTTTGAAATGCACACGGCACCGCCCAGCGAGAAACGCGGGGTGTTTTCAACCTCGGGGAAAAAAAATAAACGGTCTATAGACGCCGGTGGTTCATGTTAAAATAACTATTTGTTAGTTTTTCTGTATTTATGGACGCAATGAGTGTGTCATGCACGCCGTCACGTGACATCCATCAAGTAGTTTGGACCAACCCTAATGCGTATATAATTCTTTTATTGAGCTATGCGGATTTGTCAATCTAATCTCTTTACTAACGATGAATGCCCCCGCCATGCCTTCAATGTTTGGATTAGTGCATAGGCGTATTTATTCTTAGGATATACTTGTATAAATAACAACTGATAAGCGATTCAGAACAACCAGAGCGTGAAGTACACGGCGCTATACACAATCAGAATAATCTACATTGGGGGTCGATCATTACAAATTCTACAGGGGAGGGGGTGGAAGACATACTATTTAAATTCTTCACTTACTTTCGAGTGAACTAGCTATGATATGAAAATAACCAACTACAATACGTTTATTGACACAACACTGACTTCAAAATATACAGCAGCAAAATTACAAATATATATAATACTTGTACACTTTTTAAAATTACTGATACGAAAAAAACAAAACAAACTACAAATATTGAAGACGAGTACACAAAAGTATAGATAGTAAGAAAAACGAATGGTACTAATAAAATCTCAAATAAGTACATAGCAATAGAAATGAGTACATTGTACAGTTGTCGATGAGAAAAAAGAATGAATATTTAATTATCCAGGAGGTAGTGTTGTCTCATTTCAAATGCATTTGTTAGAAACTGCGAAAGGGGAATGGACATGTGTTTGTTACTCATCACAATGAATTTGTATTCATTATTGTTATTTTTAAACTCTTTATTAATTTTTTCCGCCTGAATGAATAATTTCTCTTTTTGGGTGCAGTACTGAGGAAAGTTGTTGTGTACACGGTCACGAGTATTAGATTTAAAAGATCAGGAGAAAACCCTGAACAATAGCTATTATATTTCAGTTGTGTTTACGTGCACAGTGCCAGTAATACTGGACCAGTGTTACCCATTCTTTTATGCTATTGTCCAACGGCTGGAAAATAACAAACACGTCCACAAGCGACAATGCTGTCACAACAATAAAAGGTAAAATGTTACTCTCCGACGAGTCGATTGACATTTAGACAGCTTTCACACAAAGTACGTTACATGCGAGGTACCGAGTGATCTTTCTTACCACATGGACACAGTTCAATTTCTAATAGTAACGCGAGCCGCATTCCCTTTATTACAGAGGGAATGTACATTTAGTGTATACACGGTCTTCAGATATTGATATCGACATGTATTTGGGTAATATCACATTTGGTGTTCGGTTCTCTTTGTAACCTGTATGTGTGTCAGTCACAATATTCTCTAAACCAAGATTGGGACCGCTAAGAGTTGATAACTTATACCTATGACGGAACAAGTATAACCCTTGTATATACATATAAATCAATTCAATTTATTACTGTACATTTTGTTACTTGATCAATTGAGCTAAGCATTCTTAGCTCCATGCTTGATCACATATTTGGTAATCGTCCAAAGATTTTTTTCGTTGATGACCATAAAAACTGCTGCTAAATTGTCATTTCATTATGCATCTTATTTGCCTTCAAGTTTTTTTTCTTTTACAATACTCTGTTGACTAATACTAAAACGATTAATTATATTTTGATACGATATATTGTTATTATTGTATGTTAAAACGCACGTGTAAAACGTGGAATCACTATCTCCAAACAGCACGATATTTGCGAATAACATTTCTGCAGCTCCCCCACACGACAGAATGGTGCACCACAACGTGTTGATCTGGAGTCCCTTTATCTGTATAAAGGGACATAGAGTCCCTGTGTTGATCCAAAACATCATGCCCTCAGTGTTAACTGAACTGAACTCTACTTTATTTTTCTTTATTTTCAAGATTATTTTTTATTCAAAGGCTTGAAATGACATGAAATGATTGAAATATCGTACGAGAACTCTCATTGATATTGAAAATGATTTACTGCGGAAGATGGAAGATTATTCCAGAAAGTATCTACCGTGAACTTCAATGATTGCTTATGGCAATCTTGAAGAAAAGTCAAATCGTTTGTACTTAACCCTGGCTTTGCGTAGACGAGTTTAATTAATCTTTGCAAATACATTTATATAACTAGGTGGTAAATTATTGAGTAATTTAAACAGTTAAATACAGTAATATATATTAATACACCCATTTTACCTTGTTTTCCAATATATCAGCATGACAATGAGTTCTGTAATTACACACAGTGTTAAAATGTAACCACACAATATTGTATTCATCACAGCTGCACCATACAGTATTGCAGCAATCAAAATATATAGTCATAAACATACTCTAGTTTGAAGATATGCTAGTGGAGATTTTAAAATTAATGAAAGCTGATAGGACCGATAAATACATATAATATATAGCAAATGGTAGTAGGTAATGGCAGTCCTTGGTGATTTATTCAATATAATGTGTCAGACAAAGTATCCTTTCTCGGTAATTAATATGTAACGTCTGATTATATGGAATACTCCCCAAGGACTACGATCACCTACTACAATTTTCTATATTTTATACCAGTGGAGTTAGTCTATCAACATGTTGCATTAAGATTTTTATAGATAAGCATACCTAAATATGTTAAACTGTTTACCTGTTTTTATTTGGTTGGTTAACCAGGTTCAAGTTTAAAATTTGTTTGTGTCTATTACACTTCAGTAAACACCGAATGAATGCTGAGTTGATTTGCATATCTACCACTCCCGTGCTCCAATAAGGTCAATTTGCAGTTTTGTACATATTGCAACTACTGGCTTATCAGCGATATAGAGTATCATACACATATAAGTTAGATGAACACTGGAATAAACATGTAGACAGGAGAACAAGAAGAACATCAAGAAAAGAAGCCCCCCCCCCCCAATGTGGACCCTTAAAGAACACATATTCTAATTTAATATTTGATATCTGTACCCGACCAGTGAAGATAACACGCTATCAGTTACTAGTGTTATACTGATTCCATTTGTATGACGTTTATCTAACAAGATTGTATGGCCGAACATTTTACCAGAGTTAATTGGGATATAAATATAATATGTTTGTCAGGGATAGCGTGATTGGGTAGAGTGTAGTGCTCTAAAGCCAGATTGTTAACTGTTGATAATGTCATTAGCAATTAAAAATATGAAATCATTACAATTGCTTATGTCATTTCAGTACTTTTGACAGTACGGGCAAAACTGAAATTGGACGATAACTACTTATTTCTAGTATTGAGCCCTTCTCGAAGACAGCAGTAATCCGCGCTGATTTCCAGTCATTCGGAATTTCGAGGATGTCAAAGAAAAAAGGGAAAAGGGATATGTACTTCACAAAATGCAAAAACAAAACTATTCACTAATACATGTTATTAATACTCAAACAACACAACTTTAAACAAAGTAATTCATACAATATAATTTTATAATGATGGGAGCAAGGAACATTTCCCAGGAGTTAATCAAAAGATAGTTGGTTCCATGTATATTATGGGCAGGGCAAATAGACAAACAGACGCAAGAAATGCAATAACAATACATTACATAGAAAGAATGCCCTCATGATACGTGAAACGTGATACAGAATAATAGGCTACTACATTATTTTCTTATAAAGCGCCCTCTAAGAATATGTTGCATATTATTTTGTCTTTAGCATAGTGATGGCGCGCACAAATCTCGGGCAGAAAGATGGATAAATGAGAATCCAGCCATACTACGAAGATCAATTACGTTTAGGACGTTGTTTACTGTTGGTAAAATGAAATACGTCATCTCTCCTGGAATTTACCAAATCTGTAGCGCCTTGTGCATTTAAAGCGGAGGGGTCGTCACCTGCGCACGAGCGGAAATTGAGTCCCAAGCGACGATAACGACACATGCTAAAACGCAAAGGCTCATGGGTAGATGCTTGTTTGTAAACAATGACACGCTATGGCCATCTGACGCATGTGCAAGTGACAACTATAGTTTTTCCGCGTCTGCTCAAGAGTACTTATTCCATTCCGAAATTCATAATCATCAAACCATAGCCAGGTCCATAGGTGCTCCCACGTGCACTCCATGACATTCTGTCTCCACTCATTTCTGTCTTTAGCCCTTTTGCATAAGCCATACAGCTTTAACCCTTACCACCCAACAGTACAGTTCCTTTTCGGCCCTTCCCTCTGTTCCTCTTCTTCACCTTTCTATAAATCAGAACCTTTGTCAATCCATCAGCTCTGATCTGGTGTCCAAAAAAAAAAACGAACTTCTTTTCATCCATCTTTCTGCTTCAGTTCCCTTTCTTATACCTAATATCTTCTTCCAAACATATTCATTTGACTTTTCGTGTTATTGCTATAATTCTTCTCTACATTTTAAATTCAAGGCTCCCAGTCTCTTTGAAGAAGCCTTGTCTAGAATCAAGCTCTCACATTCATAAAGTACGACCGAATTTAGCAATGATCTTATTAGTTTCAGTTTTACTTTCACTCTCATGGTTCTTGCTTTCTATCAATCCTTGTACTTGTACTGTATGCTAGTCCGATTCTGGCTTTAATTTACTTCCTACAACTCATTTCACTATTGAACCCAAATATTTAAAGTTCTCTACTTGCTCAACTTCTATGTCGTTAACTGAAATATTCGTCTTTCTTTTTCTTAAAGTTTCATTAATCATTATGTTTTATTCTCTGTACATATTTCCATTCCATATCTTCCAGCCGAGACTTTCATTCTCTCCGTGTTATCAATATCATCAACAAAGCGCAATTAGAGTTATTCTTCTCTATATTATCTTTTAAATAACCTTACTTGACAATTTAAGGAGATAGTTCTATATTTTCTTCACACTTGTTACTTGTCCTCTTATTTGGAATAGCAATAACGATGACCCTGACTGTAGAATACTGTTGCATAAAAACCGAAGAACGTCCATCATTGCCGGGCCTCCATCATCTTGAATTAGTTCAACTGTTAAATTGTAAGACCCTGTTGATGTTATTTTCCAACGTCTTTATTGCTTCTTCAACTTCGCCTCTCAATATCTCTTGTATTTCACTCAAAGCAGTATTTCTGGTTGACTTGTCTTCAATAATATGTGGACCCCTTCCTTTTGCCTCAAACTGGTATAGTTCGCAGCAATAATTTCGTTTGCCAATTTCATTAGTGTTTATCAAGATATTACCATTCTTGTCCTCAATTACCTGTGTTGATCTCTTCACGTGTCAATTTTGCATGGAGGGAGAGATCTGCTCACCAACCTTGCGCCGAAGGCGTGGCCTTACAGTGGCATGCTTCCACTTAAAAAATGGAAATCTAGACCATCTGAAACGCTATTTCCTGCTTTTTGAGGGCAAATTTTGCTGACACACAGGGTTTCAGTTTGATTTTGGAGGGACGACGCCCCCAACATTGTTTTCGAGGGGCGATCGCCCCCTCTGCCCCCTCTCCCCTATACCGCCGCCACTGTTTTATTGTATCAAGAGCCTTCTTTATGTTGTTGTGTCTAATTTTCTTTCGCAATATCCTGTGATTGCTTCTCTATCCGGCCTTTTTTTGCTTTCCGGATAGATTTCATCACCTTCTTGTTTGCCTCATTGTACTCTCTGTTTTTTTTCCCTCTGGTTACGAGACTGGAGTATCTCTGTTGTTATCATGGCTTCTTAGCTACCACAGCACATACAAACTCGTCTCAAAGTGTGTTTCAGTTTGGCATTGAATGTCATCGTCACCAATTCGTGATAATGAATTCCAAAATTATAGTCACAAATATTGCACTCAATGCACTTAGATGGTGGAAATTCAGAACGGAGACTTTCCCCAAGGGATACAGTACACTCGTAGACGTTGATATCGATGATGTATACTGCCCTCACAGGCGAAATACTAGTCAAGTGTGTACCATCAAACTCAGAACTTAGCCGGGATTTTGAATCGATATGATGTCGAGCTACCTGCTTTTCAATTTAATTGCATTACATATTGATGAACGCACGAATAACACATGAGTCTTCTGAATTCGTTTCTGTATTCACAAACATATATGCATTTATTTATTAGAACGGGACTTGAAATAATTACTGATAATGCAATTGAAAAGGGCCGCATGTTCGACGTGGGGCCCACACAACTTATACAACACGTGTAAAATACATTGTTTGATTATGGAACACTAGATGGATGTAATCATTGGGCAAACAAAACAAGAATAAAGATATTGCTCTGATTATTAAGTCTTATGAGTGAGGTTATGTGCTATAGCAGGCATACAAACCGAAATAATAAATCCGTTAATGACATGTGATCATATTATCGTGCTATTTGTTGGACCCCACCACAGAAGATGTTCTTAATTTAACGGACTCGTGAATAACAAGATAAAGCTCTTGATATTAAACTTGGTGAACCGTTGAGAGATCGCTCAATAAGAGGCCATTGAATTCAATTGAGCAACGTATAATTCCATTATGTGTAACTTAAATGCGAGGATAAGTCTTGCGTGACAAACTTTATTTATTAAATTGACTGAAACTTAACTGAAAGGATGCTTTCATTCCATGTGTATGTCTCACTTTGGGCAACTCGCATTGTTTGTTACAGGGCGCCGTGATGAAACGAATACCAACAAGTGCTGTCATGGCAAGCCAGTAAATATCCCCCCTTTGTCAATTTGATTGAATGAACTTTATTTCTTCAAGTGTTTTGCGTCAAGGGATTTAAGGACGCTTATCTGTTAATCTCAAACAATGGCGGACAATACACCTTGTGATCATTATTATTATTGAATCATTATCAGCGGGATTCTAGAGAACGCCCATTGGCCAATATTTATTCTGATGCCGTGGGTGCTGCCGATTTTTACCGAGTTAAGGATTCCCTTAGCAACCAGTCCCACACTTGTGACTACTACTATATCATACGGTTTACTTCGCCGTGGTTATATCGTTACGTCCGAGAAATAGCTGTATTTTGAAACATTTTCATTTCGCGCGACTTCTGCTTTCCAATAATTGTTTTGTTGAGTATCAAACGTTCACAATGTCGCGAGTGTCGCTCGATACCCAGAAGCAAAATTTTCTAGTAGAGTCGATCGAGAAAGAGATGATGCACAGACTTCGATGGCAAACTAAATATAGTAAAGAATTTGCCAAACAGTTTTACCGTGATTCAGAACTGAAGCGAGTCGAAACGCCAAAAGAACGACCAACCAGAGCAAAGCTGCTTCACTTACAACAACCGAAAAGAAACCATCTCCAATATGTCAGTAAAATCAAGAGATTCGACGAAGAGAAGGTGGAACAGCAGAAAGAAAAGTCATCACCGCCCTTGACCACAGAAATGAGACCTGTTTCCATGAAGACAAAATCCCTGCTATACCAAGGTAAAATAGTTATATATATTTACACGAAACCGCATATCAAAGACAGTGACATAACACACCACTAGCCGTTGTTACATTTATAAACGCTTTTTAAAACACACTATTAAAAAACACACACATATACTCACACACATATGTTAGTCTGTGTGTGTTTACGACCGGTATCATGGGTATAGTTATGAACGTAGTTATGTGGGTCATCGTCGATCTTTACGCCAGACAGTATTGTGTTGCCTACAGAGGTCAATTAAATAGATATGTGTTGATCCAAGGATTAATTTTAAGTTAAAAAATATGACTATCAATTCATGAAATTGTACCACGAATTCGCGAACTGTATAATTTACATTGTTTTTATATGTAATCTGTTTTTTTTTAATTTGTAATTTCAATCCAGTATTGCTGTGACGTAAGGTTTGAAGTTTCTTTTTTTTCGTAAAGCAACGCTTTTTATTTCTGCCATTTGAGCTTGCTCCTAATATACTTCATATATCAGCGCATTTCTCCAATGAATGAAACGCAAACATATAAACTACTTCTAATTACATTTCTAATACTCCTCGTATTACATTCATTGATGTAAAACTCACAATGGCCCCGTGTGGCGTCGATCAATAGACTACCTAGCAACGCAATTTACTTGAAGACTGAGCTCCGATTGAACACTTTTCTTTTCGTCCATCACATTTTCTTATTATTATAAGCAACTAATCGGATGTTATACTTTTCCAGTGCAGTAATCTTGTACCGTATTTACGATGAAAAAGGCTCGTAATAATAATATATTATTAACGCCGGCAAGCCGTCGTAAATATTGCCGCAGTTCCATCTTTCTAAACGTATGTACATTTGCGGTAACAAAAAATTTTCTGTCAACAAAAATACCTAAAACATGACCTATACTCAATACAAAAATAATAGCATTCCCACACATCTCTGTTGGATTGATAAAATCAATAAAACACGACACGACGAACCCCGGCGAATGTCTATCAAATGTATGTTTATGTTGTAAATGTGATTGATTTAAAACGCAATTCAACCACCCGGTTGAGAGAACCAAATTAAATATTTATTCCAGCTGTACTTACTTTCCGTCAACACAGCTATTTGTTATTAAGTCTGGGACGTGAGTGTACTTTTTAATTCGTTCATTTCAAAATACAAGTGAAATCTGGCGTCCAGAACATTTTGGGGTACACGATAATTACTTCTCATGGGCACTTGTCACGACAAATATTTATAAAATGAAAAGAAGGTCATAAAAATATGTTTTAATAGCCCGATATATACGTACGGCTACAGGAACGGCGCATTGACGGTATAATGGGAGCACCGATGTATCGTGTTCTGGCTACATGCCGGAATAACTGTGGCAATTCGCTGTAAGTCCGCATATTTTAACGAGCCAAGCGACCACATATCTACGCATCGCTTTCACTAATGACATGGCCTCGCGTGTTAAAAGTGACGTTATGGCTGGGTTAACATTCCTGTTGAAGTATCGTTTGCGTATTGGAACAAGATACCGTGACTATCAGCCATCCTATATGTATCAGACAGCATACGACAGACCAACCCCAAATTTACGTCAACATAGGCCACTGATCTGCGTACTAGTATAACCCAAATAAATCAATCAGTCATGTTAAACCATGTGTTCTTCTATACAGTCTAGGTTTACCAGCTGAAAGTTACGTGTTTTATGTTATAGGATGATCAAATAATTACATATACTAGTAAGTTATTAAAATTACTAATTAGCGGCCTTGTAAATTATGTTATGATCAAGAAAAATAGTCACCACGAACATGTCAGAGAAATATTCTGAGTTGGTCTCTTAGTGTATAAGTAGATGCTTGTATAAACATTATCACATGTGACACAAATAGCTCTTATTATATAAACAAATTATCATTATTGCTATACATCCATCATGTTTCGGGGTCACCGCCGCAGTAGCACCGTGAATATTTCCAGGGAAATTCATGCTCAGTGGCAACGGGCGTTGTTTATAGATATTGATGAAATAGAAACCAGTGACGGATTATGTGTCACAGCATAATAGAATATTATTAACATGTGATTGGAATGTATCTTTTGTTAAAATTACAAAAAAACGACAGCTCGAAAAATTGGACAGGGGGTTGTGAGCAAACATGTGACGTCACGGGCTATGATCAGATACTCATTTGCATAACGTAGTCATTAACGCCGTGTGTCTTGAACCAACCACTGCGTGATAAATATTGTTCCCATTTTTTTATTAATTTATTTTTTATTTAATTATTTAACAGGCTTCAGCAAAATTGGAGAGGGGAGACAGTCGTATTTACATGCCCGTAAACAAAAGAAACCGTATGACAGGTACGAATTCCCCGTCACCAATAGTTGGGAATACGGATGGAAAATAGACGACTACATGAAATACTATACACCGTCAAAACATGGAGTATCCCACGTGGTGCAGGACACTTTCTACCGCCCCAATGGCGTACCGTTAGATGAATCGGAATTCCAGCGCTGAGTTCGGCTGACATCGGAATTCCGCCGTTGAGTTCGGCTGACATCGGAATTTCTTTAATGGAGTAGAAGACAAAATGACCTTAATTCGACGAACTTCGGCTGGGCATTAAAAGTTTTGTACAAATTGCTGTCGTTGTGACACAACAGAAACATTTTCCTTTGTACATTTTAGAACTGATTGACTGACGTAATACGCCGAGTATTACATTTTTGCTCTCATTTGAATACTTGAAGCAGAAAACACTAAAACGCGCATCATCAAATTTGAGAGGATATACGTAAACTATTGTTTTTACTAATCAGTTTGCCATAAGTTATATTTTTGTAAAGAATGAGACTGCTAACTCATTAACATTTACTACGCGCTTACGTTTATCAAATTTGATTTTCAAAATGTTTGCTCTAAGAGGCAATTTTGTGGATAAATTTGAGTATTGTGACTGATAGAAACAATATACCCCGGTAGTATGATTTATCGTAAAATAAAAACGCTGTTCGTTTTAGCAACAAACACATAAGAATTCATTTAATGAAATAATAAAAAACGCAAATGCGCATGCGCTCTAGAAATACCTATACGTACAGGTAATGTACAGGCACTGCAGTTTTGATTATTTCGTTAACGATATTTGTGTTGGTTGCTAAACAACGTTTTACGATAAATTATGTTCTATTGTTTGTGTTTATCAAGTTGTAATATCAAACAAAGTACTTTAAATATTGCATATTATTCATGATCATAGTATTATCAGGTCGTTAGACATATACTCCAACATAGAGCCGTAAACCGTCAATTTAATATAATAACATCATGCACTTCGCGGGATTTACGTGGATAGCGTATATCGATATGATTTAAATTAGCAAGACCTCGTATCTCGGCGATATAACATCCGTGGGCAGGCTGAGGTGAAGGATACATCGAAGCATAATTTAAAGACGGGATATTCTTGTGAAGGAGTTCTGTGTCATACTGAGGGACTATTTTTAATGAGTCTTCATTTTCCACATCAATCAAACGCAGAATAGATACGACGCTGACGCGAATCTTCGTGGCTTTGTTGTGTTTCACAAAGGAAGATGAATGCAGCCCGGATGAATACCCCTGTTGGAAGTGGTTGACGTCACGTGATCTTATGACCCTCGTTCTTTATAGCGGTTGACCGCAATGTCTATGAAAACTCCATGCTCTCCAAGGACACGTAAACAGCTCATCCAATGTGCACCATGGGATATTTATTATCAACAAAGGCAGATCATCGCCGCGTCAATCTCCGAGAGTTGGCGCCTCTAACGTCCGTCTAGATGAAGCCTGTTTTTTTCTTTTAATAATTAAATCCGTCCATTTTAATTTTGTCTTTTTATGCATTTATAACTATTTCTTGTTCAATTCGAACCCCGTCCATATTATAGCAAGATTACATTTATTGAAGAGCTAAAAATACCGGTCATTTATCTAATATTTGCAGCCTGAGCATTCCTGACCGACAACGTAGCAAGATATTGCGGACATGTGGTCACGATTCGGTGGAAAATTTTAGTTTTATATTGATGTATGTTAACGTAAGAATATTAGCACTGTGAAAACATGTGCACTCTGGATAATAATATCAAGATTTCAAGCTATATCTATTTTGTGCACATAAACAAAAGTGTTTACTTCATGGGATTGTTTTCGCGAATTAAAAAAAAAGTTTCTGAAGCAACTCAGTTTTAATTTCTTGAGCCATTTACCCTTTTGTCATTATATTGCTACAAATGAAATTAAACTGAGCCCAAACACCTTAAATATATTATATATATGACCGAGGTAGTGAAATCGAGGGTTCGGGCGTGTATTTTTTTCTAGAATTCGAGACAAAGATGCATTTTCACGAAGGTTTTAAAACATTTAAGTATTGTGACTTCACATGCGCGTAGATATGCGCAGTTTACAACTCAACTTCAACATATTTTAAGGTATGCAGAGCACGTACTAGAAATTTGGTCCTATATCAACTGTTGCCAGGCAGTAGAGACACTTTACATATAACCGGGGGGGGGGCTCTTGACCTTACAAGACAATGAGCACATAACAAAAGTGTATTAAGCAAATACATTCCATGGTATAAGTTTTAAATTTGCCAATGTTGCACAATAAAAAATATTCACACACGGGTGCGAGTATTTGTTGAGTGCAATAAATTCAACTCTTTAAAACTTACGACTGTATAATATTTTTTTACAAGGCAAAGCCTTGTCCATTTTTATTGGGACTGTTTGGAATTCTGTTTCGCCAACTACTACTATACGAAGGAAACCTGCAGATAACTTGATTCCGACCAAGCGAACTGTATTGTGCTCTAAAAAGTGGGTTGCGTCACGGTGAAACCTGAAACGAGCAAGGTAACATTAAAAACGCATGCATACCTCGGTACGCAGATACATTGAGCAGGGTGGTTGTCTGGTTCTTCTCGTAGTCTGAATGATCTAATTTGCCATTCCATAGTTTACGTTGCTATCATTTAAAGGCAAAAGTTTGGGACATTGTTATCAAACAATAGTATTGTCCCGTTAGTCTTTCAAGGATGTCTTTGTTCAAATATTGCATTAGCATGTACGTGTAGTTGCTACTACCTAGCAACTCGGTCTCCCACCGTGAATCACCAAAACACAGACAAGTTGGATTGGCAGCGACACTATTACGATATTTTCCCGCATTTTTCCCCGGAAAAAAGTCGACAAAATGGCACGCCAAACCATGGACAACGCCTACATGAACAGTTGGTCAGAACGAGTCGAAAAGGAACTGAGAGACAGACTAAAATGGCACAAGAAATATAGCAAGGCGTTCGCAGAAGATGGTGGCCAAACTATCAGCGATCCACAGGCCGAGACAATAAGACGGTATGTGAAGCGGCAGCTGAATGTGCCTCCGCCTGTGCCAACGCCGCCAAAGACACGGCTCAGCGATCAGATTAAGGCAGACAGAAAGAAACAAGAAGATTTAGAATCGACAATAGCAGAGAAAAAAGTGGATGTCGACAAATTATTTGAAGATATGCGTCCAGCGAGTAGAGCAACACAGGCTCTGCTATATAAAGGTAATATCGAGTTACACCTTTCTAAAGCAATAGGTGTTGTGTATTTAATGTCCTACATGTAAAAAATAACAAAGAGCTTGGGCAAAGTTTCGTCTGAAATGACTGGTGCTATAACCTTATGTATATACCCTTGCTTTAATTTTAAAAGAATAAAAAAAAATCTTGCCAGTTAATAATCGCCGCCGTTTAAACAACAACAACAACTACAACAACGACGGCATCGACTTTTTCCTATGGGGTAAAATTTAATTCAGGTACATTCTTCGCTTCTCTGAGTTTCTAAAGAACCGGTGTCTCAGTTCAACTTTCCGAAAATAGAACCCATTAAAAGTTAAAACGTTTGTTAACATTTCATTAAAAGACAGACATGTAGTCGACGTCTGTTCTAATGCATATGCTTTTCACATACTTCGTCAGTCATAGGTGTTCACAATGTACGAACGTGTACGCCGTGCTGCCTATGACTTTTTAATTAATATCCAAAGTACATGTTCTTATCGCCAAGGCGAGGTCAACATATTTTCAACCATATACATATTATTGAAGTGGTCGCGATAGCTTAATTTTTAAGACGCACATGTCGTCGTTATGACGACCGATTGCTCTGAATGAACTTTGTATTTGATTAATATAAATTGTTCATACTCTTTCGCCGCCTTATATGCCTCAGTTGTCTTGCTATTTGTTTGGTTACAACTGCTATGTTTGTGGGACAGTTGTGTTGTAGTGCCAGTTGGACTAATGTAAACATATGACGATGACACCATTCAGAAAATTGGTTTAATTGATCACATACCAAATTAGCATATAACTGTTCGTTTGGAAATTAACCATTAGTTTGGTGGCACAAAGGCATATTTCGATAGAAGAATGAACTATTATGCATAAATTGTTACTTTGAATCACAGTTCCTCTATATAATATAGAGAACTTCGTTTGAATACAGTTTCAACTGGACAAAACTCAATATGATATGATCACTGTGATCTATTACTGTCAGTAACAAGCCTACTACAAAGTCGAGACAACTTCAAGTATATACGCTCGTTCATTCACCCTACGCCATACGCACTTAAGGGCGGGAGGGTCGTCACCTGCGCACGCGCGGGAATTGAGTCCCAAGCAATGATAACAACACACGCTGAAAACGCAAAGGCTCATGGGTAGACGCTTGTTTGCAAATAATGACTTGCTATGGCCATCTGACGCATGCGTAGGTGACAACTCCCCGCTTTAACGTCTTTATAAATGTACAATTTCTTCGATATGGCTTCCTTTATGATTAGAACAGCAGGATAATGAAAATTAGATATATCATCTGGATGTTTTCGTTTTAATCCCACTGCATTTTGACCATTTTACTGATATTGTTATTTCTCAATAACTGTGTGCCGCCATCATATGTCCACCGACTCGGAAACCATGAACAAAAATGACTATTACGCGAATTTCAAAAAATACGTTTTTTAAATTTATGGTGCCCCCACCTCTGTATTTGTCCGATATATTGTGTCTATTAATGTCACTGGATAGTTCTTTTTGTGTTCTCGCGTAATTTGAGAATACCTGCACGAGGTCCAGTAAGTTTACATAAACACGTGACAAATGTACATGTGCCGTGTGAAATAGGTGTTCTATTTATAGTAAATACATCACGTTGAAGGAATACACAAGTATTTATACTCGCAAACCGCGCAGGTTGAATATCCGGAATTGCACGACCAAAACATATTTACTAGATACATTCTATGTAGTTATCGAATTCATATGCGATGTTACGAAATCTCACATAAACAAACGATATTTAAAGGGTGGCAGTCGTCGCGCCGCGTCCTGTTCGACATGGGACTCGTAGCGACGTCTACAACCGGTGTAAAATACATTGTTTATTAAAGGGGAGCAGAGGTGTGGCTTTTGACACTCTGTACATGAAATCTGAGATCTATGATCGAATTCTGTCGATAAAAATAACTTATATGTGCTGCGAAATGCCATAAATATCGGGTATAAAACGGGCTGTGAAGCAGACGACAAACGTCCGCTTTTCCTGGCGTCATTTCGCCTCTAGAGGGCCAGTCAAATGACGTCATCAGTGAACACTGATAATTGAACCCATTCATGCTAGTACGTCAATCCCATAGAAATGCTACTATGAAAGACCTTGTTAACTGAGAATGTAAAAGTTGAAATATGGCGAGGTGTTGTGTTATGAATGCCATAACGATTCATGTTATGTTTCTCGAAATCCCAAATAAAAAATCACGTTGTTGGTTGCGGAAGAACTAATCTGAAAGTTAAGACAGTACAGCGTTTTGGCTATAGTAAACATTGAGTGAATAAATATTGTACGAGTTAAAACTAAATGAGAAATATGCTGATATCACTTGAACCACAGTACTCATTTTGCCCAACTTCTCCCTTTTTAAACGATCACTTAATTTCCGACCGCACTGTATTTTCCGACCGGAAAACGACCACATTTTTACCGTTTTTTTTTCTCTCGTTCGCTTATTGAAAACACCGACCGCTCGCCCAAACACTGGTCACCGGCACAGGAGTAGTCAAAATGTTTGGGGGTATACAAAGAAAATTCTGAACGGCTCTTCAAATCTATACCACTCTGTATCGTTCGTGAACAACTTCATCTGTGTCAAATACTAGAGCCGGTGCAGTATTGTAAACAAATGCCATGATATCTCAGTTATATCGCTATTGTATACAC